GAAAGAGGAAAGAAGAAATCCTGGAAAAATGTCTCAGCATAAGCGGAAATATATTGCCGTAGAGATTAATCAAAGATTTGACTGTCGAGGAACTAAGAGAGCTCCTTGGTCTCTTAGGTATGTTCTAAGTTATCTCTAAGGTATGTTGAGATTTTAAAGATTAAAGCGTTGCAGTATGCGGTTAAAAGCCTGTCCAAGTGAACCCGATAGAGTAGAAGAATCGTCGATGAAAAAGTAGACGCGATTATCGTTAAGTCCCGACACGCCCCGGGCATACCGACCAAGAGAATTCAACTTGTGGAAATCCCAACAGATTGCTGCGGGGTTTGTCGAGTTGCGGTAGCGGCAGCGGCAGCGGCGACGGCGGCGGCAGGTCCCTTTTCATGGTGGTTTCCTCATAAATAAAAATAACTATCGCACCCCCAAGGGATACGTATACGTGATATCGCCTTCGTGTCTCCCTGGCGCAGGAAATCAGTAAGGATCGGTAAGCCCGCTGTTCTCTCCTTTTTCTTCGTATGTATGTGCCGCGATAGATTTACTTCCGATATCATATATTCTTGGCATCGATACTTTATCATTGACTTTATAAATTGTTCTTTCCAGGTGTAATTCAGTAATTCGGAGTAGCTATAAGTCTTCAATCTATCTCGATATATATATATATATTATATTCTCGTAAGAGTAAATAACATAATTAAATTCTTTTCGTTAAACTAGACACAACCAAAAAACATTTAACTAGATCTATTTAAAATATTTTAAGATTAAAAATGACTTTTTTTTATTGGATTATCCTGACTTTAAAAATTCTTAAGTAAAATTTCTAAATTAAATTTTTAAAATTCTACCATATGAGACAATTTGATAAACCTTATAATTTGCGCGTCAATCGCTTCGATATTTCCTTTCATTACTCAAACATGTAAAATTTCACGAGAATTGCACGTCAGAATTGTAACGTTCCAAGATCTCAACCACGCGATCCTAGTCGATGGTAGTCGGCATTAAATTATTCTTGCGCATAGGTGTATAATCGACGGCGTATAATGGCGGGTACTGAAACGCAAATAGAGCGAATCATCACCGATCCGTCGTGCGAGCGGAATCGAGGATCGTTCTCTCGCAGAAATCTCGCCTCGTTACCGGTTCGCAACCCCGAAGGAAAGTCCGCCAAGGCGCCAATTACGAGCACGCGAACATTCGGACAGTCATGCGCGAGAACTCTCGTCAAGTTCTCGCGAATGTTTGAAGACTTGAAAAAAAAGGCGAAGATACACCTGCGAATGGCAAAAAGAAAGCCAAGAGAGCCGAGGGGCAAAGATGCGAAGAGATATCTAAGTGGAAATTGAAGAAATCTGGAAACGTAAAAAAAAATTGCAGACAGACGTCTGGAGAAAAATTGCAGACAGACTTGCATCCGAGATTATTGTATTTACATTAGATATATCGGGGTTCAGTTCTCATCTCGTAGCCTTTAAGCCCGAATTAGCGTCGATATCACGAAGGTGGCGGTTTCACGCGGACCGACGCGCAAAAGGCAGGGCTTAGCACCCCCGTTCCAAGTACCCGCTAAGCTCGTTGGGGTGATTTGCTAAGCCCGCTAACAAATAGAACGATAGATGGCAACGTTCCAACCCCTGGCCATCCCCGTTCTGCGCTCCCTGACTCGCTCGCCCGAATTACACGCGGATCACAGCTTCTTGAGCTCCGATTCGACGCACTTCACTTTGTTATTACCGAGATAAATTATCGTCGTTATCTCGATAAGCCAAATCCGCGGCAGAGCAGCGAGCTTCCTTTAAAATAATTCAAACAATTCCAGAATTTTCCTTTTTTCATATATGATTTGAATGTAGATGTAACCCGTAACTTATTATATAGAAAATTTAATTTCAACATAAAACACACACATTCAAAGATTTAAAAATCTCTCAAATTAGTTTAAAAGAGAAAAAAAGAAAAAAAAGAGAAGTTCAATTTATAAAACGAAAATACACTGTAGCATAAAAGTCGATAGAAAAGAAGAAAGAGAAGAAGCGCACGCACATTCGCGTGTGCGAGAAAAGAAAAGAAACGAGGGAAATTTATTTTATTCTGGGATAAAATTCCTATATATACGGAGAAAAATTACAAAATTTTTTCTTATACAGAATGTCTTATAAACGTCGTACAATACTTTAATGATATATTCTGAAAGTTAATTAAAGTAAAAAAAAATATACACAAAAACGTTCTTGAAGAAGTTCTTGCGTTGTAAATTGATTGATTGACAACATCGCGTGAATAAATAAAAATGGATTGGATGTATAGAATGTGAAAAGAAATGGAACATTGATGGAGAGACAGAAAGAATGAAAGGAATAAGCGAAAAGTTTCCACAATTGGGATGGCTTGAAAAAAAAAAATGTTACAGCGGCCGTTACAAACGAAAAATCAAGAAGAAGCGGCGATGCAGTGGAGGCGTGCGAGCTTGCGCGAAAGCAGGGGATGAGACGGCCGAATTTCCACCCTCGCGACAATCGAGCTCGTATATTCCGATTAGAGGGTGGCATTCACTTATAAGCCATACCATAACACTTGTCCGCGGCGCGTTACGATCCCTCGCAGGCTACGCTTGCAGGGATGGGAGGGGTGGTAGTGTGCCCGCGGGGGCGAGACGACAGGAGATGGTAGCTGGCTTTTCCTCTGCCGGGCTTGCCTCTGGGGGACAGATTTACGGCCACCTTGGGTACTGATTCACCGGTCGCCGCCACCGCCGCCAGGAGGTTGCTCCTGTCCGAATGGACCGGCGCCACCCTGGGTGCGCGCGGGCGCGAAACAACCCCGGGCGACGCCACATGTTCGTTCGTTCGAGGGCGGTCTCGCGAGTTGTAATGGCCTGCTCGCCGCGCTGAATTCCGAGCTTGTGATTATTACTTTATGAGCAACGAGAGCCCCGAGATTGTATCGCTCAACGCGCTAGGAATTTTGCGGACGTGACAAGCGATTATTCCGCGAGACACTGATGCGATTGTACCGGAGAGTAAAGAGAATAATCTTTTGATAAGACGTTTTAATAAAAATTAGTATACCAGGAAACGTATTGATTGCTACTGTCGAACATGAACAGTAGTTATCATCAATGACTAATAAACGATAACAGTTTATGACGGGTTACGCTGGATTAATAATTGTATTGGATCAGATACATACATCCATTATTCGCCATTAA